TTTACACTACGTGCCACATTCAGTCTTTCACACACATTCAGTCAGCCACCCCTGAATATTCATACTAGTTTAAATAAACAATTTATATAGATAGTATTAACCATCTTTGCTGAGTGAGAGTTTTGTGCAAAAGGAATTAAAGGTTTGTCCCATATAGACACTGGTCCCAAATATAGGCAGGCTGAGTTCAGTAGCAAATAAAAGCCTGGAAGTTTTACGGTATGTGAAAGAAGGTGGACTCATAAAGCATATATATGGATCATGAATCTCTAAAGAGATTCATTACTGTAATTAGTAAATAACAGTATTGTGTGTTACAACATTATGGCATTATTTAGGGTGAATAAAATACTAATTGGGACTTTAACAAAAACGTTGTGAGCTAGAAACTGAATTTTACCCCACAAGCAACCTATACACTTTTTTCACAGTGAGTTATTTTGCCATATACGCGCTTTATTAATCTTACATGTCTTGTATTCTTGCCTGGATCCTTTTGCTCACTCCCTCTCTCCCGCCCTGCACCCCTCTCATCTCCCCTGCTTTCTTCTTGTTCCCTACAGTAAGCATGGCTACTTTCATGTCTTCATGTGTGTGTTCATGTGTGTTTACTCTATAATGCTGCCTGTGCATGTGTGTGTACATGAGTATATAAGCCTATTTTCAGCTGGCGTCAGCAGCTGCTGCCTCCTGTGCAGAAGTACATCTGTATGGCACAGAGAAGACCCTTGTACCAACCTTGCCAATAAGCAGCAAGCAGCAGGGAGAGATGGGAATAATCAATGAGGATGATTGATCATTAACCACTTAACATCTAACTTTCACCTTGTATTTGCTTTAATGTTAAAAACAAATCATGTTATTCCACACTGTCTGAAAGTATGATATGAATTCTATATATTATTCTTTATTATCTTGAAGCTGTATGATATTTATACTTTTCCATTAAATGGAAATGTTCTACATATTTTGTGAATCACTTCATACATTTTACCTAAATTGACATATTTTTGGTTATGTTTAGCAAATGTGGGCTCTTCAAATGAATTTTAAACAGTTTGAAACTGTCCCAATCACAAGTCAGTAAGCTTTAGTGAATTAATAATGACTCTCAAATTCAACTGTAAAGCATCAATAATCGCACATTACATTAACAGTGAGCTATTCTTTGTTTCAGCTTGCCGTAGGGTGACCAGATGAGAGTGGATGAAATTCAGGACAGGGGAGTATGGGTGTGCGTGGTCACAGGGCCACGTATTAGTGAGGATGATATGAAGTGCAGTGTTTAAAAGACGCACAAAACATTATACACAGGTGACCGTTACGTTACAGTCATTTTAATGTCCTTTCCTCAGCTAAGACTATCATTAAGCTGTAGGAGTTTACAAACACATTTTTTGAAATATAAATTTTTTTGGCAGCTGTACTCCCTATCAACAATAGATAGCCTAATCAGTGCAATAGACAAGTGAAAGTACATCAGTAATACTCTTACATTACACAAAAACCAAAAGGACACTTTTAATATCTAAAAGCAGGAATTACAGCCAACATAAGTGATTTGATCAGAATACTCTCACTGTCAGAGTAAAAAAACACTATTGATCTATTATAAAGAGTAATTGATAATTTAATGAAAGGGTTCCCCTTATTTGAATTTAGAGTCTTTTAGTCTGGTGACAGCAGCAGTTTGTTGGGCATATCTGTTATGTTATTAATTAGTATTCATGACAAGTTGACAGCACTCTAAAATACAAAATATATTTAGTGTAGCAGTTTTCAATAGTACTGAGTCACCAAATCACATCTCCTCAGCATTTTTGCCTTCAAGTCAAGTCTCACAGCATACACACAGGTCTCGTTTTAGCTCCTTCATAATATCTATTACTACGGTTCATTTTTGGGACACACAGTACAGGATTCAGGATTTGGGGCAACTGCTCATAATTCGGGACTGTCCCAAAACAACAATGGCAGCTGCTCAAGAGGTTAGTGTAGATGCTACTGGCATCAGTTATATCGGAGAGTAGTAGAGAACTGGAGAGTATTTCTTAATTGAAAGAAAAGCACGGCACTCTTCATTGACTGGCTTACTGGTTCATTGATCTGATTAGTTGAAGTTAGTCTAAGATTTTTTGAAAGTGAAAGTGAAATGATTTCATTGCCAATTTTCCATATGTTTGTGCTTGTGGTTAGTCAGGTGAAAATAGACAAGAACCATGTTACAAAAACTAAGACACTGCACTTTCCCTACTGCCAGAGTCTAATAGTCATGTAGCAGGGAACTTAGTCCTGCTAGATTCTAATCTACACCAAATTTGTTTCAAATCTTTGAGCCACAGTGAGTTCAGCAATGTATGAAGGGTGAGTGAACGGGCAGCAGAAAGGATGTGGAAAACAAAGCTATGCTTCCAGTCATTAGGGGATTGAGTTTGAAGTGGTGGAGGCCTGTGCGAGTGATTACTGTATAGGTAGGCTCTACCTACCACACAGACGTATTAATCCATATGACAGATCTGGGACACTATATAGTAACGTCAGCCACTGGGATCACGAGCTGTTCCATGATCAGTCCCGGTGGTGAACAGAAGTGGCAGCAACTAACAAGGTAACCACATTGATATTCATGCCCAACATGTTTTCATTAACAGATCAATTTGTGTCAACCCTGCTTTTTCCATCCATCTGCCCCTCCTCCTCAAGGTCACGTTAGCTACATGCATTTGTCCAGCTCCCTCCTGCTCCTGCTTTACATTCATACTGTGCTAATTCACACTGGTAGATGCATACGTTTAAAGCCTGTAAAGAGGACTTTAAAGGTTCACTTGGTTCCCAAGAACTGTGATCAGCCTCTGGGCCCAAGTCAAGCTGGGTGGTACATATGTAGTACAGCATAGTTGGGTCCTGCTAGGGTCCACTTCTATTGCATTGGGTCTGTCAATACTCTACTTCAGTCCACTTTTCATTACACCACTGGCTTCATGATGCTGCTCGCATTAACTTCTAGTCACTAATGCTTGCAGTATGTACAGTACACTGAGTCCTGCTGTCACTGCGAGAAGTGAAATCTTAATTCACACTCCTCTCCAGTGTGATCCCTCAGTTACCAAGCATAAACAATCGCTTGAAGATCTATGCCTTCTGAGAGTATTTACTCACATAACTCTCCCTCCCTCTCCATCCTTTCACTGTCTAAAATAAAAAAGGCACTCGTATGTTACTTCATGCACCTGCAGCCTTGTGGCACTTGGAGGTGGTACCTTACCGTATATGTATGTCGCTTAGGACAAAATGATTAAGTTTAATGTGCGTCTAATACCTGACTGGATCAGACCGGACTCTCTAGCAGCCATGATCATGTGATGCATCATCATCATCACACATTAAGGTAGACAGAGTGTGAACTGTGCAGAAACAATGCATGTTTTGCTTCACTTTCCCACGGCATACGCTGCTGCCATTGTGCTTGTTCTTTCTCTGTTTGTATCTGTTCAAGTCCACAGGTCTAACCATCCTCTGATCCTTTTCAGATCAGGATTTACAATTACTTTGACATAAATGAGTCACTTCTATGCATTGCAGAATATATTTGGTATGTGTATGAGTTAGTTTCTGTTCGATGGACATCGCTGTGTGAATGTGTGTGAAAGGGTGAATATGGCACGTAGATGTAAAAAGCGCTTTGAGTGGTCGGAAAGGTCCATTTACCATTTACCATCTCACTGACTAAAAAAAAGTATAGTCGGTATAGGTTAGGGTTAGTTATCAAAGATATTATGACTTTGTCCCTTGCATGGGTCAAGCTCAAAAAAACACTGGATCCTATTGGTTTTATTGCATATTGGTTGCATTTCCCATAATAACACTAAACCTCAACCATTTCAATTAAAGGGCAAGAAGGGAAAGATGTGGGCATCTACCCTGATGAATGCACACATATTTCAAGTGTCTCTAACACTGTTTTCTGTTCTACATTTGTACGCCCAAACTGAGATAACTCCAAAGACTTCATAGGGGGTTATTTTCCCTGAAAGTTGAAAGTTTGACTTCCCCTGTAACATTTATTTTTAAAAATGACCTAAGAGCACTCCCTGTGAAACTCCCTGAATGATATTGCTCTTTTTTTCCGTGTTTTTCTTGTGGCCCTTTACCTTGTCTGGCAGGTTAATGATGGGCTCCACTTCGCCCAGTGACCCGTTGTGACCCAACAGCGCCTGCAGGAAGTAGCGACTGCTAGCAGCGAGGACGGCCCTATGTGCGCGCACCTCCCTTCCCTCCACCAGTACGGTCACGTCGCACAGGATGCCCTGCCGCCGCTGCTCCTCCAGGCTAAGCAGCACGTTGGTGCAGTGGACCTTGGATTCGTACACGTACACGGGCGCTGCCGCCTCCCCATCATCCTCGCCTGCCGACATAACTCCCTCTAGCACCCTGCACAGAGGAAAGAAAGGACGGCATGTCAGATAGCTATATGGGTTAAACCTACATAAGTATCCAAAGGCTACCTTATCATTGTGTTCAGACTGCCATAAAAGAATGCAATAGCTGCACTACAGAAGCATTGTGACTTTGTAGCAAAAGAAAATCCATGTATGCATGCTAACATATATCGGTGTGTAAGATTTGCAGTATGTGTTCTTTAAGATCAAGTTTGGATTTCAAAATAAATCCCCCACTGTGACATCATTTGCAGATGCTACCCAAACAAGACCTCCAACAATGATACACACAACCAAAACGGATAAAAAGGTATAGTAACAAATTTGCATCTAGTTGCAGAGTTTTTTATTTGAGTTTTAAGTTTATGAAGCATCAGCAAATGAAATATGAAATCCCATAACACCATTGTTATATATATAGTGCTGTAGGGATCAGTCCTAAAACAGGGATTTAGAATTTTAGCACGTCCAGTTCTCTCACCTTGAGGTCAATGAGTTTTTGAAAGGGTTGTTGGTTAGATGCCCGAAATAAGGCCTGGTGTATGAGGTGAAAAAAAAAGGTGAAAAAGCCCTTTCTACAGCCAGTATTTGGTTTGTTCATTCAAGTGTACTGTAGAAACATGGTGGTTCAACATGGCGAATAACGCTCATTCTGTAGTTAATAACGACTACACCTCTAGATACCACTAAATCCTACA